GGAATACTTCATATTCAAATTATTACCATAACAAATATCTGAGATAAATAAACTTATAAAGAAAAGCTTTATTTTGGCTTATAGGTTTGGAGGTTTCAGTTCATGGTTAGTTGATCCTGTTGCTTTGGGGCCTATGGTGAAGCATTAAATCATGGTGGGGATATGTAGAAGAACAAAGCCATTCACTTCATAGTTGGAAAACGAGATATATATATATATATATATGAGACAAGACTAAGTTTCCACAATCCCCTTACAGAACATGCCCCCAATGATGTACAACATTCACTATTTCACTAGGCCATACCTCTTACAGGTTCCATCACCTCCCAATAGTGATATAGGCTGGGGATCAAGCCTTTGACACACAGGCCTTTGGGAACATTCCAGATCCAAACTATACCAGAGGCTAAGTCTAAAATATTTATTCTCTGGTTCTTTACAGAAAAAAAATTCAACCATTGTTACAGCTGAATGTAATCTTGTGAGTGAATCCAGACAAAACTAGAGAAGAAACACCCAACTAATCCTCAAAATTGTGAGAGATAAAATTCATATATTTGCAAGCAACTAAATTTAGGGGTGGCTTGTTCTGCAGCAATAGATAGCTGATTCACAAACAATAAATGCTATTTAAAGAAAATGGGGACTGTCTTGAAGGAAATAGTCTCTTAAAGCTTTTGGAGATTTTCTTCTCATTTATTTCATTTGGGAGAAGTTTTTACCTCCAAACTACTGTTCTTGGCTCTGTTTTGCATTCTAGGGAAATTCTGGAAGTTCTGTATACATATACATGTTAGTTTTTCAAGGGATATTCAAAACAATTTAGAATCAGGTATTGAAATATAATTTTTAAAATTAAAAAAAGGATTTGTAAAATAAAATATTAATGTCCTAAAATATCCTTCCAAATACAGAGGTCTGTTTTTTTAATACATTAGTCCATTTGCAATGGAATATGCTTAGTTTTGTTATTGATAGAACTTCTTAGTGAGGTGAGCTGTCACTTATGCTATGATAAAGGGATCCAATGGGGTAGCAATCACTTTACCATCTATACAGGGCACAGCTACCTACCAGGAACTAAGAAAAGAATGATCTTCATGGTTTAGATCATCATTTACACAGTGCCAACTAAGTTCTGAACTTATACCGTTTCTATTTAAACCTAGTTTCATTGTACACACATTCTGAACTATATTTATCCCTATTACTTTTAGAGAACCTTCAAATCACTGTGAATTAAAAATGTATATTTCACTCCCCTATTCTTTTCCCTTTTGCTACAAAAAGGCTTTGATAAGGAAGAAGCGTTTGAACCAAGAGTCTATAAACAAAAAGAAATGAGCCATATTTATAGGCTTGACACAAATGTGTGAGTCACAACTGGGATGGTGATCATGGCTAGATTTGGGTAGTGGTTAAATACATACTCAGACCTACTTGATTTTAGGCAAAGGACCAGTACAATCAATTCTTCATATTCAAATTTATATTTGGCCTATAGCAGTATGGTAGTTGCTTTACAAACTGCTCTACCCCTCAGCCTCACCTCCTAAAGATCACTACTTTGTCCAGTTCCCTTCCCTTGGACTATTATTATCAGTAGTAGTAGTAGTAGTAGTAGTAGTAGTAGTAGTAGTAGTAGAATTTGGTATTAGAATTGAGCCCAGGGGCACTTAACCATGGAGCCAGCTCCCTACTCTTTTTTTGTATTTTTTTTTTTTTTTTGAGACAGGGTCTCACTGAGTTGCTTCGGGTCTTGGTAAGTTTCTAAGACTGGCTTTGAACTCATGATCCTCCTGCCTTAGCCTCTGGAAACGCTGGGATTACAGGCATGGACCACCACGCCTGGCCCCTTCCCTTGGATCTTGAACAGTCCTGCGCTTGCTTTTGACCAAGAGAATGTGTTGGAAATGATGCTACAGGCCTTTTGAGTCTAATTTTTATCTCAGGGCTTCTGACTTAGACTCAGAATGCTGGCTCTGATGAAGTTCAGATCAACTGGCAGGGATCAGAGCAGAAGCTAATTTGCTGATGCAAATGAAAACAGCAATATGATCCTCTGATTTGGACTTACTGGAAACTGTCCTCTTTTGAGAAGGGGGATACAGGCTGTTTACAACACTAGGTTTGTCTGTGGAATAGATGATGTCCTTTGTGAAATCTCTTGTAGGAGGTGGGATAATCATTGTTATATAGAAAAAAACTTGACAGAGCTACTGCCTAGCAGAGCTTAGGAGCTTAAGTGGATAAGCTTCCACCTATAGATATTTATGATATTTCAGAGACCAGATGACCAAAGGCAAAGATTACATGCTAAATTACATATTCTTGATTTGTTTCTGTAATTAAAATGGATGTAGATTAGACCATGTCTTCCCAGGTAAAAACAGAGAACTCCCGGATTTTATCAAATCTTATTAAAATATACATCATAAGACCTTGTAGAAAACATCATTGCTTTGGTATAGTTCTCCTCAGGAACTCTAAAGTGATCCATAGTCAATAGAGAACAGAGCTTACTGCTCTTTAAGTTAAAGCTAGTATTCAACTCAATTATACTGGATCTAGTCCTAGGTGATTTCAAGTTGTAGGTGCCAGAAAAATCCAGAGGATTACTGCTGTGTCTGCCTAGGTGAGTGGATTGATGTCATAACACCTTGCATTAAAAGCTCACAGCCACCCTGTGAAGTAAAAGGGACAACTGATTGAAGCTGACAAGTGATTTTTTTTCCCCTTAACAATGTTGATGGTTTTCCAGTGACATCAATACTGTGCTTGGCTTGTAGCACTATCTCCATCATATCCCTCTATCCTAGCACCTTCACAGTACACATGAACCTTAAAAATGATCTTGTCTATTTGTTTATCTTTAGTCCATGGCCAGTGCAGACAGGAACCCTTGATTCGGTCACACAGGAAAATCCTCAGGGAGTTTAAATTAAAGACACAGACACCATTTTACCTTAAATGGCTCCTGGAACACTCAGCCTCAAGCTCCC